TCATTCTGATGTGAAAACACCAGAACACCATGATGTTTCTGCTTCGCACAGGAGAACCTTAAGCACGAACAGACTAGATCACTGACAATCTAGGCCTATTAGAGCTCCTGCTTGTTTTCGTCCTCCTTACTACTTAATGGTTTAGCCCGTTGCACGGCACACACTTTCTAAATTGGTCCCCAAATTAATTCACATATTACAGTAGAGATTGAAGGTTTCACGAAAATATTCGTTTGTTCATGTTAGCGAATATAGATTACAAAAAACAATTACACGGGAACTAAATGATTCCAATGCTTTGAGAGAAACTGACAATCAGCATAAATAATAACGTACGGAATGCAAAATTCAATCAGACGATAAAAGTGAGAAAAGAACAACGAAATATAAACTCGATTAATGGTAAATATTAGTAGATCATGATATAGCTCTTCCTCTATGACAGCAGAAATACGTGAATTGATAAAAGGAAGGAACGCTATACAGTTAATTCCAATTAATAAACGTACAGCAAACAAACGGCAAAAAGTTCAAAAGTAACTCAGTGAAGTTGAAGAGCCTGCATATGTTACTACCAACCAAGGTATCAGATGAAACACTGTAGTCCCGAAAGGTCTCTCAATGTGACATTCAAGTGTAATTTGAATTGCAATAGGCAGTCAATTGGAATAAAAAAGAACTTGGTTGAGAAACGCAACGAAATATTTGATATTGAAGTCAGTATAGTCTACTATATAAACAAATTCAGCGAACCGGTACTTTTATAAGCAAAGTTGATTTTAAACTTATGGAAAGTAACTTAGTCGTTATCACAAACACTAACGCTCTAATGAAATCTCATATTTTAGCGCCAATTATCACTCTAACAATAACTTTTCATCATTAGATTTTACTGTGTCTACGTTAACGCGGTTTGTTGTTCTACTTTTTGGCGTCTGACTAAGCGAAGTCGAATTTTGGGTTTATTTGCCCAATGTTTGTTAGTGATCAGTTGCGTTATGACGTCATTTACTTAAAAGCGAGCTTTGAACATTCCAATGGTAATTATGAAAAAAATGTCGATTCTCTTACTGCTCGAATTAAAACTAATTGCTTTGGATTCTCGATCTACGCTTCAAGGTGGCAATAAACAAGAACTACTAAAAAAAATTTTTTTATCGAGGCTCATCGATAAGGTAATAGTAGTTCAGTAAACCCCATGGTCTTTCAGGCAGCGTTACGAGCACACTGATTAGGAACGACTGTAAAAAATGAATATTAAGCGTGCCGATTCCTTTACTTTATTATGTAACTCTACTATGCGTCGGTCGGTCAATCTCTGTTCGTCGTCTTGACAATGATTTTACTTTGAGTTTCAATTCCATTTACATTGCTGCTGCATAGGGATCTCACAGATACTTTTCTGCAAACATCTTTTGAGGATGCTCGCATACGCCGCAGAAAATCTGCTGATAATTTTTATTTACTGATGCTTTGTTTATTGATACTCCATCATTTTGTTGCTTTTCTGTTCATAGCTTCACATGGTCTGAGATAAATGCCAGGTGGAACTAAGGAACGAAGTGATACGAGGTGCATGCAACACTACAGGGGCTAAGTGCAATAAAGCTGACAGTTGTTGGAATGGCCTCAGCATAACTAAGCACGAAGGCCATGCATATGTCGTATGGAGGTTATGCATGACTGATTCTCTATTATTGATTTAATTTACCAGCATTTGCCTTGTTTCATTATGAAATTCAAGAGTTTTCTGTTTTAATGTGACTGGTAAACTTTAAACTTAGACTTAAAATTTTCAATAGTTTAAAATCTGTTGATAACTGCTTTAATGATGAAACTGACATCATCGTTGGTAAAGAAACTGCTTTTCTAATTAAATACTTGCGTTCATTAAATAATACTTGCAGATCATGCAGTAATCACTGCCGGCGTCTGCAGATGATTGTTTGGTGTGTGGTTTGTTCTGTGGTTTCGTCAAACTGAATTCCGGAAAGCCGCTGCGTATACAGCCGTCGCTGAAAGATTCTGAAATGATGATAATTTAATTCATGATCTCTGTAAAGCGTGACAGTTCGTTGATCGTTAGTCATGAATTTGGAGAAGGTCTCCGATGACGAGAAATTGAATGTGTGTCGGCGGTATTATTTGTGTACGCAGACTATGTTATTTATTGTAATATTGTGTCGTTAAGAAATCAGTAATATCTTTAACCAAAGTGAGTATTTTTTACTTTTCTACCAAGGTTGCGCTGTGTTTTTGCCGCTTGTTTGATTACGGGGTCGAATGTTTCACATTAAAGCATCCGATTCGGGTTATTTTTAAAAATGTGTTAATATTTTGTCAGTTTTGGTTCGCACTTGGCAGATATCGCAAGAGCAACATATCTTTGAAGAAACGACGTATCACTTCTTGACGTTTGCTCAATTGTAATGAGAAGTTGATTTCAACAGTGTTGGGAATCTTCGTATTGCCCTAATCACCGCACAAACCAGATGCGTCTTTCACTTTGGCTGCATTTGTTTCTGATTGTGAAAAATTTGAGGAAGAGATTCACTAGTGAATTGGAATAGTTAGCGGCATTCTGTGTGAATGAGCCCGTAATCATTGTGACTAAGGTAGAGCTGTGTCTGAATGCTAAACTGTCTGTGTTCAGTATTGTTCAAATAGTCACTCTTCATCCTCATGCTTACCTTTGGTAATAAAGCTTGGACTATGACTGAAAAATTTCGATCCCAAGTACATGGTCCGTAATACATAAATCTGAGAGATCCTTG